GATAGTGGTATTGAAGGAAAAAAAGTGGTGGTGAGAACACAGACCTCAAGGATGTAAACAAAGAGGCAGAGAAAGCGAAGTAGGGAGTGAATGATAGCGACAATGAGCATGAGGTCGGGGTATAGCGTGTCGTTTATGGTGGAGTTGGGGTTTCTTGGAGAATATAGGAATAGAATTAAAGTAATACTTTATATGTGGGTTGTAGCCTAACCAATAGTGTTGTTAAAATGGGTCACCCAATCCGGCCCACCACGGGTTGGTCATTTAGTGAGTCAACTTAATCTGGCTCATTTATTAGTGAGCCGAAAAAGTTTGAACTCGGCTCGACCCATCATGGGTTGGTGGGTTAAACAGGTTGGCTCACTTAATTACAAGTTTTTTCTTAAATAAAAAAATTAAAATTTTTTTGTAATTCAAATTTAAATAATTTTACTCTAAAATGATGTTAAACTCCAAAGAATATTTAAAATAAAAAATTAAGATACAACTCAAATATAATCCAAAAAAAAACCCAAAAAGCGAATAAATAAGTTTATAATATTAATAATTTTTGTATCATTTATCCATTTATAAGATTAGAAACTTGAATAGATAAATTTGTAATATTTTTTTCTCTTGAAACATCTTTTTTCGTTATTCCCATTTATAATATAATAAAAAAATGTTAACTAATAATATTAAAACACAAAAATAATAAATAATTAAATTAAACTAGGTGGGTTGGTGAGTCAGCCCGGCTCACCACGGGTCCAACCCGGCTCACCACGGGTGAACCGGGTTCTAAGTGAGCCGGGTTGAAAATTGACCCGTATAAAAGAATTTCATTTTTTGCAAACTCAACCCAGTCCAAACTCGTGGTGGGTCGAGTTAATCCGCAAGTTCTAATCCATTTTGACAGCTCTACAACCAGCATAGAAAGTGAACACTTTCTTAATTGTCTTTATTATGCCGGTTCCAAAACCAGCATAAAATGTCTTTTTTAACTAAAATAAAAAGTCTTTGTTGCATTAGTGTGATAACTTATGAAAACTCATTGCACTAACTCCACCTTTAGTAACATCATTAATTGTTGCATTCAATTCTATATCCTTTCAATGATCTCTTGTATCCATGTCTTGCATTATACACTTAACTTATTATTACGACATTATATTCATTATTCTTTTTTTAAAGTAAGTAATATGTTTCAAAGTAAGTTAAAATTAAAATAATTATTTAAAAACAATGAAAAAGATAAAAAAAATATTTGGAACTTTTATTCTAGAGTGAATTATACACATCTAAGTATATTTCGAGTATAATGATATAAGACTTGTTCCTGATCGAGTACATGTCGAACTGCTACTGATCGAGTACATGTTGACTTGTTAAGTCGAGTATATGTCGACACATTAAGTCGACATATATTTGACCCATACATAAGTTGGAACACATTCCTATAAGCAAGATTGATAAACTATAATGGTCACAATTAAGCTAAGGAAAAAATTATGACTTCAAGATTAACATGAGATTAGGTAGTGTAGTTTATATCTATCTAAGTAAGAGTTCATAAACAGTAATATAATTAAATAACACGTTCTACAAAATACATTAATTATGTTTATTCATTATAACATTAACTATCTTCTAATTTGACTAATTTAAATAATAATATGTTTTCTATCGATGCAACTCTTGTCCATTTAGAAGATAATGAGCACTCAAACAGAAAATAAATTTCCCTGAAAGCTTTTAATATTGGATAAAATCTTTTATATATATACTGAAGAATAAGTGGTTAAAAGATAATGACTTTCTATCTTGGAGCTTAAATTATTTAGAGTTAAAAATAGATTTAAGATTACAAATTAATTTTATACAGGAAAAGTAGAGGGAGAGACTTTTGACAGGTTGCAATAGTTGTCTCTTCAAATATTTAAAGTAACTTTGTATTAATGTATTGTATTGGAGAAGTAGCAGAGAGACTATTAAGCATGGTTTATTTCACCTAATAAGCACTCCATCTAATACTTATAAATCATTCACACCAACATAATTTGATTTACCTGGAGTTACAGATAACAAATGTAAAAAAATAATCACAGACGACACCTTCTTTTTACTCCATGCCATAGCTATAGATTATTCATTGTTGAAAAGAACCAATTAATCGACAACACTACATGATATCATATTAACTCCTCGTTGATTCAGAGTGTTAACAAAATAGGGAAATTTTTTGCTAATTTGCTAAGAAATTATGTGACACATTCAGAACATAGATTTCTTTTCCTGTGAGATTTGTATTAATTCATTTATAAAATAAGTTTGAGAACCAAAAATTATTTTATTTTTCATGTTTTTATTCATATTTAATTCCTCATTTTTCTAAATTTCTTTCTAATATGTTCACCTTTGACAATCCCTGCATACAAACATTCTGTAAATATTTCATATCCCTATAAACGGGACATAAGTTATGTTTCCTAAATACACTAGTGTCTAAACATATATGAATATAAAATGTCTGACTACAAGATACTCACATTTATATGGGATAATATATGTTTTTATATAGGAATATAATATGATATTCTTATTTTAAGATCGGCACGCATTTAGAAAAGCATAAATATTATTACAACATAGTAATATATAATTGTAATGATTTATGTGAGAAATTTAATTGAGGTTTCAGAAGTTTATATGAAAATGAATGAGTATAATTACAAATTTATTATCTTAATAATTACATTAAAAGTCATATTAATCTATCTATAACCCACGCCTCCATGTGTTATACTAAAGAAGAACTTGAGAGTAATACAAAATTGTGACAAAACGTGGCAGCAAGTTGTTTGTCTTCTGCCGTCCTATAATCTTATAGGGTAACAGATTCATGCTTCTTTAGGTGAAGTTATCATAATTAAGATTCTAGCTAGATAGGATCAACATTTAAATCATGTGACTCAATCTCTCATTTTTATTTTTATTTTTATTTTTTCTGTTTTCTAAAATTAAATTAAATTTAAAGTTTACTTATTAATAACATTAAATCATCATTAAAGTTAATAGAATTTAATATTTATTAAATTTATTTCTTATTAAATTGATATCAAATTATCAATTAATATATTGTCTTAGACTAAAAATATATAAATTATATATACCTCAACATAAAAAATATATATAAGAAGTTCTTATCTTCCAAATCGATGTTATGAGATTAATTAATAAGACCAATAACATTAAAACTACCCAAACAATACATAGCTATTTAAAGTCTGAAACCCCTACTTTCAAATTTATTTCACTTTCTGACTCTTTTAACATTTATCTAATTAGATTTCAAATAGTTTGATTAGGAAACTCTAAGAAATATATAAATAGTTTATATGGCTGGCTCATAAAAGTAATTGCAATATTCCATACATAAATAATTAGTGTATATAATTACTTTAATAAAATAAGTATTGATATATTTTCTCTTCAGTATAATAAGAAAAAAAAATTACAATATTAATGAAAGCATTGATTTTACTAATTTTGATTGAAATCCATTAATAGTTGGATAAACACAGTTTAGTAATTATCACATATTAATAAGTTTGATTGGAGAAGGTTTTTCATTCTTTTTTTTAATAAGTTTAAAATCTTTAATATTTTCTTCCAGATTAATTATTTGTTAATGTTAATTTTTCCTGCAATAAACACATAAAACAAACTAGATACTAAACACATCATTAACTATATATTAATCATTAACAAAATATTAATATAATTAAAGTTGTTATCACAAGACGATAATTTCTTTTGTTCTTATTATACTTAAAAATGAAACATAAACTACACTCATTATTTATCCATAATTAGTTTATGCCATCCATGACTACGAAGCTAAGAAAGAAAGAATGCAGAGGAATTTCGCACATTGACGTGGCATTACTTTCATCTGTCAAAGTTGTGTACGCAATTATTATATTTGACTTTGGAAAATCTCACTGCGATGCTCTCTTTCTCATCCTCTAATCTATCAAAAAATCCATTTAATAGAGCCTAATTTAGCACATTAAGTGCTTATGTAGCCTATTAAAAGCCTCTTAAGCATCCACACGGCAAAGCTACCTATGCAACGAAACACATTAGCATAAAGACTACTTTTTGGTAATGACAGTAAGTAGTTTTACGATCGAAGCAATGTCAAGTTAATATTTTTTAGGTACCAAAAAGATAACATGCGGGTTTTGGCTTGAATGTTTATAGGAAAAAGTGCTTCATTGTGAACATGATGTTAGTTTTTAGATCTTCTGCAATTGATTAAGCTAATTTAGGGACAGAGATTTTGTTAGAGGTTGCTAGGGTGATATGTTGTGAGGTAGGTGATTTTGGCTTCTCTGTTTTTATGTTGGCTGCTACTGTGTTGGCTCTAAAGTTGAAGAAGACGTTGTCTTTGTGTTTGCTTTTAACAGGTAGGATCTTAAATGCTTTTGGGGATAAAAGACTTGTTGTTTTTGTCATAGGGGTCTTTATAGTATGATTTGGATTGAGGGTTTATGTTTTGGAATCTAAGCTGAATTTTGTTTGTGCATACAAGAGTTGTCTGCATTTGTAATAAACACAAAGCAATAACCGACTCAGACAAAATCAAGCAAGCAAACATTTTATATAATTGCCATAAGAAATTTACTTTACTTCAAGTTTTGCCTATTGTATTAGGAATTACAAGCCATATGTAGTTCCCTCTTGATGGTTTTAGTTGAAATTGAAGGAGATGCAGAAATATAAAGCTACATGATTCGGGAAAGTGTTTTTGACTACTTAAGAGTTCCTTTAAATGTAGTTGGTGAAAAAAGGAAAGTAAATTATCTTTCTTAGACAGAGGAGAATTACTGCATCAAAACCATACTCGATTTAAGTTTTTCTTGAAGTGGGGTTCACCAAAAATCGACATAAACCTCTTCTGTTCACTTTATATCAGATGAACTATGCTATTCTTGACATTAACGAGGCCATATCAGTTACAAACCAGGAAATCCAACTTAAAGTGATATAAATTCAGCAAAGTGTCACGTAGAAATAATGCATAATACATAAATATCTTTTTTGTCAAAAGATATATAAAGCACCAACGTGATGGCTCCAATAAGGAGGGGAATGAAAGCCATAAAAAAGCTGAACCCAACCAGACAACTTGTGTAGATCATTCAAAACGTTTCCATCTTAATCTTCCCACGTTTTCTCAAGTCTGGTATACAATGCTCCTGCATAGCAAGATCCATGAGATGAATTTAAAAAGGAATAATAGTCAGTGAGGCAATAACTCTGTTACTCAATTTGCAGCTTTGCATGGGAAATGACTTTGATCGGTTTTCATTCTTTCTTCCATTAAAAACAAAAAGATGACATGTTAGCACAAATCACATAAAGTGGTCCCTTTACCCTTTCCTTTTTCTTTCTCTGAATGTTTACCATAACTGTCCAAGAAAAGAGAAATGGATAATCAGCAAAGTACTTGATAAATAAGGAACGGTGCAGCATTGGGCAGTTCACGTTTGTGTTCGATGATGAGAATTAGGAGAAGAAGATGATGTCTTGTCGGGACCTACACCGTGGCTCCCATCCTCGCCTTGAATTCTAGCTGGGATGCAGAACCCTGGCAATGCATCAGACAGAAACCTGCTGCCAAAGATGGAAGCCTGTTGAATTGGCTGTGACTTGTGATGTTCTGAGGAAGAAGCCATGGGAATGTCACTCCAAGGACGAAGTGATGGTGAGAAACTGGACTGAAGGGTCCCCCTTTGGGAATATGCAGCAGAAACACCTTGGCCTAGAAGCGCTGATGAGTTGACCATGAACCCAGTTCTGTTCATATCCGTGCCTGCATCACTGTTCCAAGTCAGAATCCTGGGGTAATTGGCTTCAAACCCCACTTGAGTTGAGCCAGAAAAGAGGGCTTGGTGATTGGAAGGTGTTTGTGTTTGGTTTGCATCTGCTTGGGACTGGCCATGAATCAGGCCAGGGTCTTGGAAGGAGTGGAGAGAAAGGCCAAGATCCTCAGTGGAGTTGTTGGTTCTTGAGATTATGTCAGGAGGGTAGGTTGGGAAATTGATGGAGGAGGTGGCAGTGGTTGTGGGAAAGAAGGCTATTGCATCAGTGTCAATAGGTGCAGGGATGAAAACTGAATGGTGGTTATCATGGTCCTCACCTAATTGCCGTTGCAGCTGAAAATTGTAACCAGAAGACTCTGATTGTTCTGCAATGGCCATGTCACTAGACCCTGCATTGGTATGGTTGTTCTCTGCATCTGCAGCGTTGGCAGTAGGGTGCCACGGAGGAAGCTCAGCGAGCTTGTCAATGGCATTCTTGGCCTTCTTTATGAGCCAGTCCACGGCCTTGCTCGGTCTGTCATACCCTAAACGATCCTGAACATCGTAGAACTGAATTGCCGTGTGCGCTGAGAGCCTAACCCTGCGATCACGAGGACCCTTTGCAGTGTAAACCTTACTGTGCCTATCTTTTCTACCTGTGGACCGAACAATGTGCCCTCCTTGGACCTGAACAATCTCTCCCCCAGTGCTCTTCATCCCCATTCCTCGGCTTCTCTACTCTGTCTTCTGCATAGCTACTCCCCTTTGAAGTTTCCACAACCTGATGAAGACAATTGACACCCCTACTTTATACGCTCAAAATACGTCCTCTCCCTTTTTGATTCTCGTGTCTACAGCCCGAGATTCAGATTCCTTTCCTTTTACACTCGTAATGGATTTCTTGTAGGTTTTTGTTGAGGTTGGTACTTCGCATGGTAGTACTGTAGTACGCTTTGGTTCTGTTTAGTTCCTGACACTCCTAAAACTGGTTACTTGTTGAGCCTTCATCAGCAGCTACGGAGAGTGTCCTGCTTCTGCCACTGCTGCTGATCCCAAAAATACCAAAACCTGCAATTGCAACCTCATTAGATTCCCTATCGGATAACACAAGCAAAACGGATTGAAACATACACTAGAAGAGAAAAGCTAATAGCTAAAGGCTTTCTTGGTGACTCACTCACGTGTCTGGTTTTTATCTAGACAGAGCTTGGGGAGTAAAAGGACAGAGTAAATTAGAAGATTGTTGGAGTTTGTTTACGTGAGCATCCCAAAATTTTGTGAAGGGTATGCAGATTTATTTAAAGTTTCAATGACTTGAAGTGGTCGTACTGAGAGGGTAAAAACACAAACTACAATAGGACATTGAAGTGTGTGAGTGATCCAGCTTTTGATTTGAGCTAAGGAGATGTCACATGGGGTTGGAAGAAAGAATAGAATAGAATAGGTGGAAGCAGAGTGAGGGAGAGAAAAAGAAAACGGTACCTGTGTGGCCTATGAGAGCTTGCTGATGCTTCTGCAAAGCGAGGCAGAGTGTGGTCAGACAAGAGATTAAAGTTGTTTTGGTCGTTTTTTAGCCCCACAAACACAAACAAATGTGTGTTTTGTTACGAACCCCAACTCAAGTTCAACCAACTCATCAACTTTCTCCTCAGTGATATATACTCACAAGCTCTTCCAAGTTGTTTAATGAGTCTATTGAAGGATGGTACGCTATGCTATGCTACGCTACGCTACGCTGTGGTAGTGGTGAGATATAATTAAGGTCATGGATGATAGAGAGGTAACTCTCGATTGCCATCTCTTCTACCCACACCTTTTTAAGCCTTTGATAATGACATCTAACAGCTTTTTTGCCTTCTTTCCTATCTGTAGTTTGCAGCTTCACTATTAAGAAATGTGTGATTTCACTAAAAGGAACGACAACATGCTCATTACGCTTTTTCTTCCAAATTAAATAACCAATGCTTCTTCACACATTCACAACACAACAAATTTTCCTCAGCAACACCAACGACAGCGGATACAACATGCACCAACCACCTTGTTCCTTATCAACCACTCGCAACTTTTCCCAACTTGTTCTACCAATTTATTACCGATAAATTTAATGCTCATAAACTTTAACATCCTTACATGGTCATGCGCGCTACTTGCATATCGATTGCAGAATCCTTCATCCTTGCACTGTGTTTCGGGTAAACGACAAGTTTTCACATTAATTAACTTATCTTGGACCTCCTAACATTATAATAACATTTAATAACTTTTTATCAGTTCAAGTACACGTGAAAGTTTTTTTTTAAGATCAAAAACTGTGGATAATCCATTGATTAAGGTGTGAATCCCTAATCCCCCACTGTAACACCATATGGGTAGAATTATAAAAATAAAGAAAAAAAATAATTGTAAACAAGAAAGGCAACTTGTTAGCTCGTGTGGATGGAATTGTGATAATTCATTACAAACTAATATTTTATGGTAGAAAAAGAGGTAAATCAACAAGCAATAAATAAGAAGATTTTATGATAGGTAAACGAGTGTAAATTTTATTTTTTAAATTATTATATAAAGCTAGTTTAAATTTAAAATTTATATTTTATCATGATATCAAAATTACGAATTAAAGTCTATTTTAATAAAATTTATTGTTTGTTATTGTATTATTAATTGTCGAATTATTTGTTTGGTCAAAATTAAAAATAAAATAATTTTATAGTATATATATTTTTTTTATAAACTAATTTTATAAGATTAAACTAAGTTTAAAATTTTATTTTTTGTAAAAGAAATATACAAATTCAATGTTTATTAGAACAAATTTTATTAATCGGAAATGTTAATTAAAGATGTGATAAGAATCTCGTATCTTGTACTTAAAGTGAAACAAGGCTCATTAAAACGAAGAAAAAGAAAAAGTAATGTAAGGCATCTGCTAAAGAACATGAAAGCAACAGAATGTAAACTTCATCTTTTGCAAGCAATTGGAAGGCAAAGATGATATCAAACACTTTACTTCCTTTTCGCTTTAAATATTCTTTTTCTCTTTATTTTCTGGTCCGATCTCAACTTTTACTCCTAAAACTTAAAAGACTTAATTTTAGGCTGATGAGATTCTACTGGTTATAAACAAAGGTAAAACATTAATCTAGTTATTAAGTGAGTGAGATTCTAATAATTTAGTTCTTGAAAGAATAACAAAAATTAATTTAATTTGTTCAATTTGTAAAAAAAATGGTTTATAGTATTATAATTTATTAATAATTAATTTTAATTTTATTATCGAATTGACCTTTAAAAATATATTTTAATGACAAAATAATATTAGTAAACTTAATCATTGGACATAATTGCAAAAACATTATACATTTATGGACTAAATTAAAAGTGTTTCATCTATTTAAAAACTAATCGACTATTTATCCTATAAAAAAATTCACAAGTTGTTTGAAAATTTAGGAAGAATCCGTAATATAGAAATTAGGTATATTAATGGGAGGAAAACAAACGTATAATTTCCCAATCAATCAATGAAAAATATTTTAAAATTAACTGTTTGTTCATTACAAAAATCTGTCATATATAAAACTTTACACTAAGGATTTTCAAGATTTGGATCAATGTATACTCATATCAAATTAAGAAGAATACGTATTTAATCAAGAGAAATTTTTTTAAATATTATAAATAACCAAAAATTGTAATATATATATATATATATATATATATATATATATATATATATATATA